GTTACATCGGGCCATGAGGCCCAGGATCTGATTCGACATTTTGTGGTAGACATTGATTGGACATTCAGCAGGGAGACTATTTTTGGACTTCGCTATCACGATCTTGGTCTTCTCCCTCACGTCCATCTTCATCTTGCCTCCCCCTCATCTCCTCATCCGTGGTATCTCCCAATGTGCCTGCTCAAGGAGGGACCTTTCTTCTATGTATGTGCTCCCTCCCCCCTCTCTCTCACATGTGTGGTGTATGATGGGGTGTCGCGACAGTATCTGACAGGTCAGGTCATATCTTTGGGTCTTCCATTGGGCTACATTCTGCTATTTTCATATGTATCTGGATGCACATTGCTTGTTCATGCTTTGCGGACGCTGCATTGTCCATTCGAGTCCTTTTCATCACTTTGCGGATCTTTGGCTCCATATACATCGCTCGACTGAGCATGCATCAGTTGGTATCGGAGATGCGCTCAGTGAATCAGGACGAAACCTGACTTAACGCGCGAAAAGAGAATCGACCGATCAATCGACTGACCGATTGGTCGATTGATTGATTGATCGATTGATCGATAGATTAATTAATTAATTAGAATAATCTAATTAATTTCTGTTCGCGATTTTCTGCCTAACTGTAAATTCCGATTTTTTTTTCTTTTTGATCTTCGGAATTCTCCCTTTGGGCTAATTCGTTTTTTGTAACTTTCGAATCACGCATCAATTGGTAGTTGAAATTTCGATTTTCATCATTTTCTTTTTTTTTTTAATTCAAAACTTTCGCTGCTTTGATATTCCGAAATTTTCTTTTTTTCGGTAAATGCAAGGAAGATGAGCAATAGCGAACTTCAGCAATCAAACAACATCATACACATGAGACCAGATAGTCGTGACCTCGAACCAAAAGCAGAATTGCATCCCGAGTTTCACCAAATAAGAGCACACCAAAAGCTCATAATTGACAATGCTGAAATAGTCTCATCATCATCATCAACGAAGAACCAATGTTGATATCCTATCTGGCGCTCGGCGCCCAGACTACGAATGGCAGATCCTATCTAGCCTAGACTACAATCCGCTGATAATGTCAACAGCTCCCCGAAGTAGGAGCAGATCTCGGCCAATGCCGCACACTTCAAGCACCAGGTATGTCTCTCGTATCACTCACGACCTCGTTCCCCAGCTCACAGATGCCACTTGCACCCAAGGACCACCATGCGCCCCGTCCAGCATACAGCAGCACAGCTTGGCTATGGCCGTCTGCTCCTTCCAGCTCGCCTGTGAGCGCGTGAGCCAGGCAGGCGACAGCGCAGCAGCGCTTGCGCACGCGTGGGCAGGCCCTTCCCTATATCGAAGTGACCTGCTGCTGCGTGCTGTGCTGCGCTGGCCCAGAAGCTTCCGGTAGGCCCAGGGAGGCTGAGCCTCCGTCCGAAGAAAACAGGCCCAGGGCCTGAGGCGGTTATCAGCACCCAAATGCCCTCAGCCTTTGTTCGGTCCACTTTGTGTATCCGGCCCAGGGCCTGCCTTAGTTACATGCGATGAAGGCAGCCTGGGGCCGGGGTGCTTCCGACCAACTGACGCTGCGCAACTGCCTGAATTTCCCCAGTTGCATGGTGACACTGAAATGGCCTGTAGGCCTCGGTCGTGCCTGCCTTCACTTAGGGCGGCCGACTGTGTGAAAATTGGGCCCTGAAGGGCATATCGAGGCCCTAAGCCTCGCATTCCCTCCTCCATGCTTCGATAGTCCTTCGAGAAGTTCAATCTTCGATAATCTGGCGTTTTCCTTTCTGCAGAGACTTCTCGTAGTGAGCAACGACCTGTGGAGTGGTCTGCATCAGTTCCTCCCGTGTGAACCATCTATCCTCCTTTGGATCAGTGTGATGTCTGAACCGAACCCGGTACTGCAGCTTCGGTTTCGGAGGACGTCCCCTGCCTGTCGGTCTTGGCACTGGCATCAACAATGTCATCGATGTCGACCTCTCCATCCATGGTTGGGGGCAGCATAGAGCGACGAGAGGGAAACCGAGGGAAACTGGTCAGTTTCCTTGAATGGTGCAAGCTTGGAGGCGTGAAAGACGGGGTAAGTGCGGAGATGACCAGGGATCCGAATAACATAGGATGGCCCATCAGGATCTTCCCCAACAACATTTAGAACCTCCCATGGTCCGAAGTACTGCGGCATGAGCTTACGGGAGATCCCGTGCTCCTGTCCCAGTTCTGAGGATTTTACCCAGACTTTGTCCCAAAATGTAGAAGGGCGGCGGTGTTTGTTCTCAGATTCTATCATTGCCGCCTGTGCCTTGTGCATCTGTTCTACTGCCTGCTGCATAAGTTGTTCATAGCGATAGGCAAACTGAAGGGTGCCGGGTGCAGCAGTTGACTGACTGTCAGGTAGCGGAAAGTCTAGGGGCAGTCTGAGCTTGAAAGTCAGTAGCAGACTATTAGGACTTACTCCAGTTGCGCTGTGCACATCATTGTTATACAGGCTGGCGATGAGAGCAAGTTTCTCATCCCATTCCACCTGATTGGGCTTGATGTAGTGCTGCAACAGGTGTTGCACAGCGCGGTTAAGCTGCTTTGCTTGGCCATTGGCCTCGGGATGGTTCCCAGAAGTCATCTGCCGCTGTGTTCCCTATTCTCCAGCTGCAGCCTTCCACAACTCGCTTGTGAATCCGACATCCCTGTCACTAACAATAGACTTTGGGAGCCCAAAGTCTCTGCCCCAGTTCTCTTTGAAGAGTCTGACCACATACTCGGTCTTTGCTGTCTCCGGCATTGCAACTAACCTAGCGTACTTACTAAACCTATCCACGATAGACAGGCTCTCACCGGGCCTTTCCGGAATGAGGGAAAGTCTCTGCCCCAGTTCTCATTCCACTCTTGCTGGTGACCAGCGAGTCCATGAAGTCCATAGACAGGCTCTCACCGGGCCTTTCCGGAATTGAAAGGGGCTTGAGGAGCCCAAGAGGGGCCTGCGTACGAGGCTTGTCTCTCAGACCTGACAAGTCTCCACGTACAGCTTGGCATCTCTCATCATCGTGGGCCACCAGAATTGTTGCAGCAGATTGGCTGCAGTCTTCTTGAAACCAAAATGTCTGGTGGCATCATGACACTCGCCTAAAAATAAACTACGCAAAGACTCCCTATCTGGCACACACAGGCGTTTATTCCCTGCCTTCTCAAGGAACAGCAGTCCGTTGACCAACACAAACTCGGCAGAAGTCACTTTGTCCTTCGCCTCGAGTCTGCGTATGATCTCAGACATAAACCGATCCTCGCGATAGGCTTCCACCATAGAGCAAGTAACATCGTCCGCAAGCCCAAACTCAGTGATCAGCGCACCAGAGAAATCTGGTCTACACGACAGCACATCAGCAACCTTGTTGTACTCGCCCTTGATGTACTGGGGCTCAAAGTCATACTGCTCTATGACTTCGATCCAACGCTTCAAAGCGTCGGAGAGCACAGGCTGGGTTCTCATCCACTTCAAGGTCTGATGATCAGTCCTCGCGTAGAAGAACCTCCCAAGAGATAGTGTCTCCAATGGGTGAGCGCCTTGTAGATTGCATAGAGTTCCTTCTCATAAGTGGACTTGGCCAACTTCTGAGAGGGCATCTTTTTGGACATGTACTCTACCGGCCTCAACTTCTTCCCCTCCTGCTGCGCAAGTACGGCGCCTATGCCATATTGGCTAGCATCAGTAGTTACTACGAAAGGTTTGTCAGGATCAGGAAGTTTCAAGACCTCATGGTGTGTCAACGCATGCTTTAGTCGTCTGAAAGCAGCCTCGCACCTGTCTGTCCACTCCCATGGGATGTCAAGGCGAGTCAAATCCGTCAAAGGGGCGGCCACTATGCTGTAATTCTGAACAAAATTGCGATAGTAGCCTGTCATCCCTAAGAAGGACCTCATCTCAGTCACAGACTGAGGGCGCGGCCAGTCACGAATGTTGGCCAGCTTCGCGTCATCGGGCCTCAAACCCTCCGCGGAAATCTCATGACCCAAGTACAAGACACGGGTGCGGCCAAACTCGCACTTCTCACCGTTGATCTTGAACTTGTGTTGTCGAAGAAGGCTAATGACTTTGTCCAAATGCGCAACGTGCTCCTGACAGTCCTACTAAAAATAAGTATGTCATCGAGGTACACGATGACAAACTTATCCAAGTAGTCATGAAATATTCCGATTCATAGCGTGCTGAAAGGTGCCAGGAGTACTGCAAAGGCCAAAAGGCATCACCACAAACTCGTACAGACCGTACCTAGTCTGAAATGCGATTTTGTGTTGATCCTCGAGCCGGATTGCAATCTGATGGTACCCGGACTTCAAATCTATCTTACTGAAGTACCGGCACCCTTGCACTCTATCTAGCAAGTCGTCGATGCGCGGTAGGGGCTCTCTGTTCTTGACAGTGATGGCATTGAGTCCCCTATAGTCAATGCACATCCTAAGTGTTCCTTCCTTCTTCGATACGAATAGGACTGGTGATCCATAAGGAGAAACACTCGGTCGGATCCAACCCTTCTCTACGAGTTCCTTGAGTTGCTGGCGAAGCTCATCAAGCTCACCTGAAGACATCCGATAGATCCTACCCTTTGGGATACTAGACCTTGGGATAATCTCTATCACATGGACGATCTCCCTCTCAACAACCCCTGTAGGCTCTTCAAATAGATCAGCGTACTCGGCAACTACTCCCTCTATCTCCGGCGGCATTTTCACCGGCTCGCCTGCTGCAGAGACATAGACTAGATACATACCCTCCTCCGGATTTTGCTTATAATAGTTATAGAACGCGGCCGCACACATGCATCCGTGGGACTCAATCAGACTACTAGCTTTGAACTTACGTAATCTGGCGGTCCCTCCACCTGGCAAAGTGTGTTTACCACTTTTCGGTCCCAGTCAAACTGGGGTTGTGCCACGGAGAGGTAGTACATACCTAACAAGATATCCATAGTGAGATCATCGCTCACTAGGAATGAGACACGATGTCTCAATTCCCCTCCCGCATACGAGCGTTGCACTTGCCCCTGTAAGCGCAGCCTCTCAACGCACGCGCGACTCATGAAGTTCCGTGTCGAGCAAGTGTCATAATAGGCCCCGGCCTTGCGGCCGCCAATGACCACCTCGCTGACGAACATCTCACCCTTATGGGCTTTGACCAATGTCGTCCAAGAAGCTAGCGGGTCTGATCTAGACCACTCCTCCTCTAGCTCCTCTAAGGACTCGAACACATTCATCGAACAGAGGCTCGATGGGTCTGAACGTGTTTGCGGGATGACGATGGAGTCAGTAGCCTGGGCCATCTCTCGAGATGGTGAGGGTGTCCACCACCTCGACCCTAGTAGGAACAACTACTATTCCTATTGGCCCGACGTGTTTCCCGGAGCGGTGCCAGAACTGCTAGCCACATTGCTGCCAACGAGAGCGGAGGATCCCAACGCCTGCCCCATCGTAGGCGGGATCTTTTTGGTCACCTTCTTATTTTGGCACTTGAATTAGTTATGGCCATATTGGCCACAACGGATACAAGCCTGCCGTGTGTACCGATCTCTCCACACGTCCTCAGTGAGACCCTCTTTCTCCCATGGAGGAGCATTGGGGTCACCTTGACTCCTTGACCGGGAAACTCCACGGCGTCTACCGGTCGCCTTACCTTTCTGTGCTACGACAGCGACTACTCCACCCCCTGAAGCCTCTACGCTGCCAACCTCTGAACCTACTCTCGCCTGGAACTCGTCGTCCGACTCGATGGTAGAACTATCGTTGTCGACGAACATAATGCGGCCCTTCGCCTTCCAATTCGGAGGCAGTGACTTCTTCCTACCATCCGTCGTGGGATTATGTCCATGCCCTATCTTTGCCTCAAGGTCTAGGGCCTTCTTGCTAAATGAGGGAAAGTTGTGCATATTAATGTTGGCCTCACCTGCCAACTGATTCCTGAGAGGCATGGGAAAGCATCTCAGGTAGGAGGTGAGTAAGACCTGGGGGTCATAACGCACCCCAGGGACACAAATCAAACGCTCTATTGCGTCAGTGGCTTTCATTACTGACTTAAACTGCCTTGTATGCAATGTCAGGATCGCATTAGTAGCCTTTTGGGCTTCCTGAGGATCATGCCACCTGTCTTCCACCAACTTACGGAAGTCATCCAATTTTTGGGTGACCGCTCCAGCGCGAAAGTCATGACCGTACCCCTGTAGCTACACTAAACCACTCAACCATCGTGTTGCACTCCCCTCTGGATAGGATGCAGCCACAAGCACTTCCTCGTGCAAGGAAGATGAGCAATAGCGAACTTCAGCAATCAAATAGCATCATACACATAAGACCAGATAGACGTGACCTCGAACCAAGAGCAGAATTGCATCACGAGTTTCACCAAATAAGAGCACACCAAAAGCTCATAATTGACAATGCTGGAATAGTCTCATCATCATCATCAACGAAGAACCAATGTTGATATCCTATCTGGCGCTCGGCGCCCAAACTACAGATGGCAGATCCTATCTAGTCTAGACTACAATGTCGAAGATGACGACAACAGCTCTCCCGAAGTACGAGCAGATAGCGGCCAATGCCGCACGCTTCCAGCACCAGGTATGTCTCTCGCATCACTCAAAACCTCGTTCCCCAACACATAGATGCCACATGCACCCAAGGACCACCCTGCGCCACACCCAGCGCACAGCAGCGCAGCTCAGCTATGGCTGCCTGCTCCGTCCAGCTCGCCCGTGAGCGCGTGAGCGCTGGCCAGCTTCAGCGTAGCAGCGCTTGCGCAGCATGCAGCCAACACCCGAATGTCCAATGCGGAGGCAGGCCCTTTGTTATATGGAAGTGGCCTGCCTGCGTTCTGTCCCAAGCTGCGTTGGGCCTTTCCCAAGAAGCTTCTGGTAGGGCCCGGTAGGCTAGGTCCAAACAACTCAGGCCCTGGGCCTGTGGTGGTTGCTTGCGCCCAACTGTCATCGGCCTATGTTTGGCCCACATCTCGTATCCAGCCCAGGGCCTGCCTTTGATTCATGCAAACAGGCGACCCGGGGCCTAGGTTCTCTCAACCAACTGGCGCTGCGCAACTGCCTGAATTTCCTTAGTTGCGTGGTGGCCAAAAATTCAGGGCCCTCATGCCCTCGTCCAACCTGCCTTCACTTAGGGCGGCCGACGTGCTGCTTGGCAGGGCCTGAAAGGGGCACATCGGGGTTTTAGCCTCGCATTCCCTCCTCCATAACTTTGATAGTCCTCTGAGAAGTTCAATCTTCAACGATCTGGCGCTTTCCCTTCTGCAGAGCTTTTTCGTATTGAGCTACGACTTGAGGAGCGGTCTGCATGAGTTCCTCCCTGGTGAACCAGCGGTCCTCCTTTGGATCAATATGATGTCGGAACCGAACGCGGTACTGCAGCTTCGGTTCCGGAGGACGTCCCTTGGCTATTGGTCTTGGAACACGCAGCTCCTTGTGGTCCACGATACCATCGATATCCACTTCTCCATCCATGGTTGGGGGCAGCATTGAGCGACGAGAAGGAAACTGGTCAGTTTCCTCAAAAGGTGCAAGTTTGGAGGCGTGAAAGACAGGATAAGTGCGGAGATGACCAGGGATCCGGATTACATAAGACGGCCTCTCCGGATCAGTCCCGAGAATGTCTAAGACCTCCCATGGCCCGAAGTACTGAGGCATGAGCTTGCGGGAAATCCCGTGCTCCTGTCCCAGTTCTGAGGACTTAACCCATACTCTGTTCCCAACCTGAAATGTAGACGGGCGGTGATGTTTGTTCTCATATTCTATCATTGCCACCTGAGCCTTCCGCATTTGTTCCACTGCCTGCTGCATCTTCTGCTCATATCGGTGTGCAAATTCTGAAGTATCAGGTGCAACAGTTGACTGATTTTCAGGTAGTAAGAAGTCTAGAGGCAGTTTAGGTTTGAAGGTCAATGGTAGACTGTTAGGGCTCACTCCGGTGGCGCTGTTCACAACATTGTTATACAGACTGGCGATGAGAGCAAGCTTCTCGTCCCAGTCGACCTGATTGGGCTTGATGTAATGCCGCAACAGGTGTTGGACAACGCGATTCAATTGTTCGGTCTGGCCATTGGCCTCGGGGTGATGGTACCGTCTGCGCTCGTCCAACAGCCTCGGGCTGTTGGACAGTGATGGTACGGCCTGCGCTCGTCCGACCAAGACGACGAGACTCTGCTGGATGTCCTGTAAGATTGTCGTCTGCTGGTCTTGCATCTCTACTACACCTAACAAGACCGACCTCAGGGTCCTCACCTGATCATCCCACTCCGTCGGGTCCATCTCCTCTAACTCACTAATGTCCGCTTGTCGCCGCTGCAACCTGGCTCTTCTTCTAATCATTCTTTCTTTTTCTGCCTTAATCTCTCTTAAATCCTTTTGTAGCTGTGTCTCGCGATCAACACCTCGTTGTATGGCGACCTCTTCGGGAGTCATCACTAACGGCTGGCTTGCCATAACGCCAGTGGACTGACTCTGGGTTTGTGCAACCGTTGACCCTACAGACCCTAAACTACTGGCCTGGGAACTTTGTTGCGCAACAGTTGCCATGGCCGCTGAAACAACGGCTTCGCTTGCGAATGCTCTTCTGGTCTCTGCTGCCCTAGCCCTCCGCTGTTGCTGCTGCCTCTCCCTAAGCTGGCGGAACAGATATACGTTGCCCTCTGGTCCTAAGGCCAAGAGGGCTATCGGGCGTCTAGCCGATCGCAAGATCCGGTCATCCTCACTAGTGGTGTCCCTATCGCTCATACGCTATAGAACTGCACACCGTCTACACTAGGACACACAATGGATGCCTACCGCAGCGACATGTACAGACCGATATAAATAATCGGCGGCTATATTAGAGACTAAACATTCGAGTCCAACAGGTAAGTCCAAATTCCTACAAATAAAACTATTTTCAGTTTGACTAGTTCTCAAACAAAATGCACAAATGAACAGGAAACAGTTCTAGTATGTTGTTTGTCAGATGTTAATGGCAGTACATCTAACTAATCAAAATAAAAATAACATCATTTGTTTGGTCTGTTCGCAGCATGGGATCTTACTCAAACTTATCACCTGGAATCTACCCCTTCCCCAATTCCCTTTGATTGTCACTTGACGTCAACGTCCCTGAGCAATCCGGTTTGGCGTGTGTGACTAAAGGTGTGCACACGGCCCACCCCTGTGCCCCGAGTAGCTGCTGAGCTGGTCAGCCCTGCACTGTGTTTACCCTCGCCTGCAGCGAGCCGTACACCTATTGGCTGATCAAGAGGCAATTTAACGACCGCCCCCAAGTGTCATCAGGAATTATTTTACGTTGCAGCAGGACGACGATCGTAGCCAATGGTTTCTTTAACCGGTGTTTATTTATAGACGCCCGGTACTTGTCTCTCCCATAGGGCTGGCCTGCCCTTCAGTACCCCTCTATGAGCGCAGCAAGCAGACAAGGACAAAGCAGCAAAGCATGCGTGCCCTACTCCCGGTGGGTTGGCATTGTGACCGTGACCCAGTGCTCCGTCCAGGGCCCTTTAGAAAGCACCGCCCTCTCCTTCCAGATGCTCCACGTGAACAATGCCGACTCTCAAGGTTCAGCGCACACGACACCTCACATGAGAGGACTCTCAAGAAGAAACTCACAACCTCACGGTAAGAAGTGATGAAGAGGGTAGATAAGGTTAAGAGCAACGTACCTCATTATAGCTGCCCCCAACCACAAATATTCTCACCAGATGACCTGATGGCGATTGCGATGATCGGCACAACCAACATTATCTCGTCGTTCCACCTCAGCATCAATCAACCACCAGATAGTTCTCATCACACTGCGAACACCCAATATACACACTGCAGCCTTCTTGGCGATTCCCCTCTCCTCCTGGTTCACCACACTTGTATCCGCCCTCCTCACTAGACACCGCCTACGGCCAGACTCACCAAGCAGACCGCATGTATGTACCTCATAGGCAGAAGACAAGCGCCAGATGAGCGCAACGTACCACAACTCTGATACCAAATTGCAAGGAAGATGAGCAATAGCGAACTTCAGCAATCAAACAGCATCATACACATAATACTAGATAGTCGTGACCTCGAACCAATAGCAGAATTGCATCACGAGTTTCACCAAATAAGAGCACACCAAAAGCTCATAATTGACAATGCTGGAATAGTCTCATCATCATCAACTACGAAGAACCAATGTTGATATCCTATCTGGCGCTCGGCGCCCAGACTACAGATAGCAGATCCTATCTAGCCTAGACTACAATGCCGAAGATGACGACAACAACTCTCCTGAAGTATGAGCAAGTAGCAGCCAATGCCGCACGCTTCCAGCACCAAGTATGTCTCTCGCATCACTCACAACCTCGTTCCCCAACACACAGATGCCACATGCACCCAAGGACCACCCTGCGCCACACCCAGCGCACAGCAGTGCAGCTCGGCTATGGCTGCCTGCTCCTTCCAACTCGCCCGTGAGCGCCGGCCAGCTTCAGCGCAGCAGCGCTTGCGCAGCATGCAACCAGCACACGAATCCCCAATGCGGAGGCAGGCCCTTTGCTATATGGAAGTGGCCTGCCTGCATTCTGTCCCAGGCTGCGCTGGGCCTTTCCCAAGAAGCTTCCGGTAGGCCCCGGTAGGCTGAGGCCGAGTCCAAACAACTCAGGCCCTAGGCCTGTGGTGGTTGCTTGCGCCCAACTGTCATCGGCCTGTGTCTGGCCCACATCTCGTATCCAGCCCAGGGCCTGCCTTTGATTCATGCAAACGGGCAACCCAGGGCCTAGGTTCTCTCAACCAACTAGCGTTCGCAACTCCCTGAATTTCCTTAGTTGCGTGGTGGCCAAAACTCAGGGCCCTCAGGCCCTAATTGAGCCTGCCTTCACTTAGGGCGGCCGATGTGCTGCTTGGCAGGGCCTAAAAGGGGCACATCGGGGCTTTAGCCTCGCACTCGTGTGGCAAGGTAAGTTTGCACTTGACATAGACTGGCATTGCCCTCAACCAAGTGTCGAGGTTCGCCCCTCTTATCCCCTGTAAAGGGTTTCGGAGCGGTGATGGTCGTCTTTGGTACCCACTGACTTTGTCTCGGTCCCTACATAACTCTGGGCTGTGGACCCTGTGGTGCAGGCTGCTGCACTGACTGCTGGGTTGTGTACCCTGCGGCTGTGCAGGCTGTGAGACAGCAGGCTGCCCAGTTACGGCAACCTGCAACGGAGGTTGGGAATACACTGACTGTACAGGAACCTGTACACTAGGACCTGCTGAAAACCCGCTTGTCAAAGGCATACCTAAGGAAACGGGCTGGACCGATCCTGGATGTTGATCACAAATGAAGAGCCATCGGGCTCATCGCCCGCGGACGATGTTACGGGCCATGGTCCAAACCACTTGGGAAGCAGTTTGCGTGAGACATCCTGTTCCAGTGCAAACTCTTCCGCGGAAACCCAAACCAGGTCGCCGGCGAGGATGGGACATGGCACGCGATGCCTGTTGGCTTGCTGCTGCATGCGGACTTGAGCCTTTTGCATATTCGCTCGGGCTTGAGCCAGCAATTCCCTTACTTCCGGACGGAAGCGGGAGAGCAAGCGACATCGATGTCGGCTGGTCGTGGGAAGAGAAGGTCGGCGAAGATATGGCCTTTCCGTCCACCGTGGTGCAACTCAAATGGAGTCACGATGATCGCCAGGTGCACCGAAGTGTTGTAGGCGAACTCGATGTCGGGGAGGCGGTCAACCCAATCTTTCTGGTCCGGACGGATGAGCGTACGAAGCATCATTTGAGATGTGCCCGCTCCGTCTGCCCGTCTGTCTGTGGATGTCGAGCCGAACTTGGCTTCATCTTCGTGTCGGACTACTGCATGAGTGCAATCCAAAATGCCAACATGAAACGAGTGTCGCGGTCGCTGACTATGTC